TTACATACACAAATTCAAAAGAATCAACGACAAAGGCCGTTCTTAAGATAAGAATGACTGAGCACCTGGTTTTCCTCTTTGAATTTCTTGATCCATATTAACTAAGGCATCTATGTTCAAGTGATGGACCAATAAGCAAGTATATGTTTGGTTGTTTCAAAAAAATACTCCCATTTTTTGTGGATAACCATCACTTTCCCCATTATGTAATGGCCGTTATGTAATGGTCGTTATGTAATAGCCATACATAGGGGCTAAATCCCACCTTTTCAGATATACCCAAAAGTCATATCTGATAAATAGATGGTTACAATCCACCCATTGGATACATTTGGGTTAGTCTTATAAGCGGCCCAAAATTCAATGGCTTACTGCTATATTTCATATTGTCCATTAAAAATATAATCTTTTTGGAGGTCCACCATTTAAAGACTATTTAAAGACCAACCCCATTTCTCAGTCTGTAGCATTGAAAGCTGAAAGCTTCAGGACCTCCTCATGTTGCACCTTTCTTCTCTGCGCTGCCTGGCGTGGTGTCTCTAGGGTAATTTGGAGAGCATTCCTTACCTGGAACCACAAAAATGATCCTTATACGATCCTTATTTTGGATGGTTGGCTCCTCCATTTTTAGGGGGTCAAGCTGAAAAGGAAGGGATATTTGGGTTCCAAATGCAAAAAAATGCTTGGAACACTTGGAATGTGGCTGAATCCCTTCAAGCAAAGATGACAGTCCACAGCCTCTGCGCGAAGTTTCTGAATGGTCGACAACTGGGCCTCCACAAAGCTGCTGGATTGGCCACTTGGGAACCGAAAAAGCAACGGAGAGGTGATGCGCTAGGCCACCAAAAAACATCCAAAAACTCAGAAAAGTGATTGGGAACCCATGGCAGCCAAATCAGAACCATGAGCCATGAAAAACCAAGACCTTCATCACCCGCCCAAGCCTGCCATGTTCGTTCTTCCGCCTGTGAAAGTCACCACTTGATTCAGCGTATCGCAACCCAAACAAAGATGCGGAAAAAAAAAAGTCAATAATCCACAACTAAATTCTCGAGTAGGATTTTACCAGTACCAAGTTTTGCAGCTTGCATCTTTTTGGAAGTTGCTACAGAGCCTTACCCTCTGGTTATGTCAACATAGCTATTGAAAATGGCCATAGAAATAGTTGATTTTCCTATTAAAAATGGTGATTTTCCCATAGTTATGTAAATGTTTACCAGAGGGTAAGTCAAACCCCGTAGAGCTGTGGAAGAAATCCAAAAGGATCCAACAAAAAACCATTACCGTGGCCTGAAGCTTTTGCTCGTAGTCTCGATACCTGCACCAATTCCGCCAAACTTTTAGGCGACAAATATATACAAATAGTCCATCCCTTCAAGCTATACCAAGTTATACCTAGATCAGAGGTGACACATCCTAAACACTGAGAAGATTGGTTTCTGGCTGAATGAACAGAATTCTCACGAACCTGTCAATAGCTGTGATCATACGGCCAAATACCCCCCAGCATTCCAGTGACGTCGTGCCTGAACTCTTCCAAGACATCGCGTTCCACCTGGCGGCTCAATACCCTGGGACCATGGTGCTGAGAGAGTTGGTATATGGATATTCATCCCCCAAAATATGATTGTAGAGGTTTTGACCAATCCTCATATGTTTATTCTTAGTAGTGAAGAACTCGAATGTTTGCGAAACTCCACCCCCTTTTCGCGTGCTTTTTTTTCGGTAGGTCTGGGTCAAATAAAATGCACCCCAACAGGATGGTCAAACTGCCAAATGAGACATCTGCAGACCTTTGATCGATACCCATGCGACCTGGCGAATCTACATTGCAAGGCCAATCACTGTGATCCACAGCATGCCATAGCCACATCGCCAGTGCACCATTTGTGGGTGAGTAGTATTGAGTAGTCCTCGTTTTTTTTGTCAACCAACGAGAACCTGGATGGTTTGTCGATATTTTTGGGACATTTATGGCTTATGACCCACATCCCCAGTAATTAGTCAAGGACCCACCATCGCCTGAAAGTGGGCTGCACCCAAGATCCTTCTTTCCAGCTTCTGGATGCGCTCAGCGTCTTCCTTGGGCCGCCAGAGTCTGGCCTATTCAATTTGGCCATTTAGGGGGAGAACAAAACTGCTGTTTTCGGAGCAATTGATTTTTGCCCACTGGATATCACTTTCATGGAGATAGTGTTCACGTCGCAAGTCATACCGGCATCAGGTACCATATTGCAGACGAAGACAGGAGGCCGCAGTGCATATGAAATTGAGAATTTGAAGATGTTTGAACCAACAAAATTGAGGACTACCAGCCATCACTGGGCATTTTCTACCACTCTTCAGCAACCCATCAGACCCCTGGGCTGCCCGTGCAGAGGACAGGGAGCTGAAAGCCCCCGGCAAGCCGCTACACAAGGAGCTGGGTGATTTCATCGGCGATATAACATGGATGTTGGATGGATTTCTAACATGGGAACATCATATGGGAATAGTTGTCAGATGTTGTCAGAATACATCATGGACCATTGCGGAAATATTAACCTAGATCTGGGTAAATTATCATATTTCACTAACCTGAATTAAGGCCATTTGGGGATCATTTCCCTTATTAACCATGATTCCCCGGATAGATGGGATGACTGTGGATGAGCCCGCTGGGGATGATCTCAGTTCATCGCTGATTTCGCGCATGGGTTTTTTTTAGACACACCAGAGGCTGTTTGTGCTTTGTAAATCTCGTGTGATCTTCATAGCATGTTTCATGTGCGAGAAAAATGTGACAAATGCCAAGTTCTGTCTGCCAACCTCATGGCATGTGCTCAATGATTGCCCGAGCCACAAAGTCTCCAGAGGCTGTTTCCGCACAACATGCCAGTTGAAGCTTTCCTGCAATACGTCACCACCAAAAAAAATCAGCATCCCCACACCAGAACTGGCTGGTGGATGCCAACCCAAAATTGGAGGTTTATGGCCTTGGGTTTGCCACGTTTCAGGGCGTCCCCACGAACTTCCCACGAACCACATCCATGGGTGTCACGATGTTGGCACATTGCGCCTGTTTAGCGATGAAGACCTAGTGAGAATCATTAAGGTAGACAAGTAAAAATCCTGAAGTAATGGTAAATTATCCTTTTCTATACTTTTCTATCTATTTTGGGTTCCTATGAATCCATGAATAATCCCCTTGGATATGGGGAGCCCCAACACTAGCTTTGTCTAACCAATGACATGATCGGCTCCAACTCCTCCTGAGGCACCTCCGGTAGTGGTGGCGCGGTTTGCACAAAGTAAGTGACACCTCGATGCGGAGCGGAATCTGTGGGATTTTGGGCAAAGATTCGAACTGTCAATGGTTTGTTGAATGGAAATGTTGTGGTAGAAAACTTGGAGCTTTCCCCAAAACTCAGAAGGGTCCCTGTGAGTTTTCCATTCAATCAATTTGGGCTGGAGGAAAACGATTGGATCGGGGCAAGTCTTTGCATATTTACATGAAGCAGATTGCCTCTTCATCCTTTAGCTCCGGGAAGGAAGGTCAGAAGAAGTCACATTCAGAGAGAAAGTGCTTGGATGACCACCCAAGTAGCTACAGGTATCCCCAAAAACCAGCCCATGGTCGCGAGTTCATCCTCCATGAACAAGACCAACCCAGCATCACCCTGGGTTTTCCAACCGGCCACCGCTAGAACCATGAAAAGTCCATAGAGCACTAAACTCTGCCTGTCCCATCAGGACATGGCGCTGGAAAATTCGGGAGGATATCTAGGAAAACCTGGAGTTCTGAAATGGAAATCATAAACCGGAGCAATTCAAGGGGCTGTGCTCAACTTGGATCAACCATTATCTAGTGATGCTTTGTTCATGGCTAAATATTGTTGGACTACCAAACTGGAACCTTCGGATTGCGAAGCAAAGGTCTAAGGTGGTCTAAGGGTTGACGACTCAAGTGGAGGTGCCACTTTAGTGCTCCAAGAGCACTCAACTTGGGGCTTGGGGTCCTCCGAACTTCACCAAAGTGGTGGGCTTGTTGGTGGCTGCACTATCCACCTTCTGGCATGAGAACCCCCCTATCTTAAACAGTAGTCACCCAAAACCCTTGGGGCTGTTGACAAAAGGGTCCCACAAAAATCCTCGAAATCCCAATTTCCCGCCTCAGGGTGAGCGCCATGCTTTGGCTTCGCACTTCACGAAGCGGTTGGCGCGCCACCCAGTCGTACCCCTGGCCCTAAACCCCCGCCCCAGGCGGCCCCTTGGGCGCGTGAATCATCAACGCTGCAGGACACCAGAAAGGCCATAGGATCCGTGGGAAGCGGGCAAGCGTGGGGCGCATGTTGCCAGTTGCCCGGTACTTGGAACATCTTGTTACCATGAACAGTGTAGCTAGTAGTGTTTCCAACACTGCTCGCAAGTTTGGCTTCTTTCGGCAGCTTGGCTCCAAACTGAGATATGGATCGGAAAAACGAATGTTTGACAGAAGTCCGAACATTGTGGAGAATAAATTAGGTGGCCATCCCCCATTTCACAACCAACCCCAATGGTACCAGTCAGAACAAGTCTTGCTTTCCGCGGCGCCGAGAGCCAACAGCGCTACTCGTTTTTTGCTGCGTCAAGCTGGGGCACTGCAGGTTTCACACTTCACAATCTTCACCGGGAAAGTCTAGACTTTCCGCACATCTGCAGAAGCAGAACATGAGTTTGTCCTAGTTTGTTCATGGGATGTTGCGAGGTGAATTTGATCAGTCAATCCTACTGATCACTTGAAGCAATTAGGGGGCAACTGGGTGATTTTAGAGACACCGAACGGACTTTGGCATGGAAATCCAAACTGTGAATCGTTCAACTTTATGGATATTAAAGCTTGTGCTTCATGATGGTTGGGTGTCTGAATCTCCTAAACGATGTCCGGAGTGTTGGTGCTTGCTTCCTAGTCTTCCTACCAAAAAGATAAGCATTGATTCAGAGGATCAGAAAACACATCTCCGATCCCACCGCTGAGTGCCTCAGATGTGCGCTTTGCCCTTCCACCTCTTCGTGGTCCGGTAGAGTAAGGCATCCAACAGCCCAGCCACCTGGCCACTTTGCCCGCCACAGTCTCTTCAGTTTTTGGGCCTCGATGGATGGCTTTAGCTTGTGCTTGTGATAGTCTTCGAGATCTATCCACACCAGCCCAAAAGCATTGCTGGTGGAAGACCCAAAACAACAAAGAAAGCTTATATGATTTATAATGTCAATGTATCCTCGGGCGCAATGAATGACAAAACCTGGGCCCTGAAAAGCTGGTGCACAAGAGATTTGTTCGGCATTTTTGGGAGCAAACTTATTTTTGGGGTGTGTCTGACATGGGGTACACCCTCCAAATGACCATTTTTTCTCGGGAAAATGATGACAAACCATGGGATTTTCCCCAAGACAGGGCTGGGAGCACCGTGAAGACACCGCCAATAATGGCACAGACGGAGATGAGGAAGTGCGAAAACGGCACCTCCTGCATTGCCCGAGACGGCAACAATCATGGAGGACTGGAGAACTACCCTCCGGTAATCAAACATAGCAATGGGAAATCCTCTATACACATAGGTTTTAATGGGATTGAATGGGAAAAACATCTATGAATCGGGGATTTTCCATTGCTATGCTTGGTTACCGGAGGACTAGGACTTCTGAAGATGGGAACTTTGCATCTTCCACGTGTTTGATTTCATGGCCATCACGCCTTTGGTTGGATTTTGTTGGATCATTTGGTTCCAACAAATTGCGGGGATGGTGCCATAAGAAGTGCCAAAGTGCTGAGCGCTCACCAAGAATCTGGCCACATCCAGTGAGGATCCGTTGGGCGTTCATTGTTTTCGTCATTGTTCAGCCATACCCTCCAGTAATCAATGGAGAATCACCCGTTTACAGGTGATCATCCGGCTATCCAAAGAAAACAGCAGCATTGGTCGAGCCGAATCCTCGAGTCATGGATCGGTTGCCCAGGTCCCACCTTGACGCTCTTCTGGACCATAAAGGGGGTGAACCTCAGTGAGAAATGTGTTTTTTTCCCGGGGGTGGTTCTGGTTGATTAAAGAATCGGTGGGTTCCCCCCATTTTTCGTGATCATCGGCCCCTCAAAATCTACTAAAATAATACTAAAATGGTATCCAGTTAAACAGAAAAAGGGTTGACTGATCCTGGGTTGAAATTAGGCATATATGAGTTACATGACCATATAGGGGCACCATATGCCAACCAATCCCTATAGCGAAGTCACCATGGCCAAACCACCGTCAGCCAGGCACCCAGCTCGTAGACTAAGAAAACTCCTGGCAGCCCTGCCAGCTCTCCTTGCCTCAGAAAATATCAGCGGATTTTTTTGCCAGTCAGTTCCGTGACACAATGGTTTTCCGCAACACCCAGCTGCTCTTGGCCAAGAACAGCGGATCTTTTGATCTCGTAAACTTTACGAAAAAAACAAGGATACAAAGGGTGTGTGTGTCCTCCCAAAATTGTTTCTATCTCCAAGTTTTTGGGCAAGGTCCAAAACCTACGGATCCTCCAGACTGGGTCCCACTGACCGCACCAACACATCCTTCTCTTGGCCCGTCACCTGAGGTTTCAACAAAGAGCTCAGAGGTGTCCAAGTGGAGGTAGGGCGAGACAAAAACAGATGCTGTCTGAGGTCTCTAGCTGAATCAATCTGTCCCAACTCTTGAAATCCACAATATGCCACCATTTTATGACCATTGATTAATGGAGAAAATGATCGTCTCAAGCATGGGATGGAATGGGGGTTCGAAATTTTCAGACAAAACCAGGTGGATTCTAAATGCGAAGAAACAATCTCTCAATCCCACATTCTTTCTAAGATTTGCATAAGCAAATGTGCATGATTTTCCCTTCTATTTTTCTGGGTTATATAATCCCTTCCCCCTAATATTAAAACACCCCCAAACATTTATGCGTTAGTGCTGTACACAGACTGGCATTTCAGACCGTAGAATGGCGGTGCTTGATAGCCGGATGGGATTCTCGCCCGATCTCCGTTTCCATTTGGTCTCCGTGCCGAGTACTGGTGGGTGTACTGGGACCTGGCGCGGCAAAAGTTCCGTAGACGCGGCATTTAGGGGCAGCGCAATTTTTCTATCTGATGGGGCCCCAGCTTGCCATCATCTCGTTCGAAGAGGGTGGGCACCTGGCGCGGTGGCACCCTGCTGGTGCGATCTTTCAACGTCTTCCATGCCCTAATGGATATCCCCTGCATTGCACATGCCAGCTATATCCTTTGCATGTGTTCCAAACATTTTAACCTCACAGATTTTGCCGGCACAGCACACTTCCCCAGTCTGTGTCGCAACCAAACGGGGACCCACGGCCACTGCATGCCATGCGGCACCAATTTGATGTAGTAGTGGAACATGTAGGCTCCCTTCAGCACGATCTTTGCAGTGCCCTGGCACAAACAGAACAGCGGGCACACTTTGAGATTCATTAACCATTTTCGATGCATTCAAACACGACTACAATGTGGGAAAGATGGTCAACCAATGTCAAGCCCTTGAGACGCTGCATGGGAATTGAGTGTACTGCTGCGCGCCTCCAAGGGAGACTCCACGCCCGGCACACGCTCGCCGAACCTGTTGTCACCAAGGCGTGCCAACAAGGAGGGTATGAAGGCGAAAGCGGTGATGATGATTATGATGATGGTGATGCTAGTGATGATGGTGATGATGATGATGATGATGATGCTGGCGGCGGCGGCAGCGGTGGTGGTGGCAGCGGTGGTGGCGATGATGATTTACAAAAACGAAATCACATGAACTGGGCCGCGCTATGAACCTTCCACGCCCCCACAGACAGGCTACCAGCTGCCAAGGTATCTAAGTGCCCACGCTCAAGGCGGTGAATAATGTGGGAGGTGTTGAAGCCATCACTGACATCCTGCAGCCGCCGCCGCCGGACACGTGCGACTTCTAGTGGGCAAAACTGCTAATTGCTGGTTTCGCCCTTCTCTTCTTTACTTATTCTCAGAACGGGGCCCCGACTGGGGTGCACTCGCCACATCTGGTTTCTGCCAGGTTTGCTGACGCTTTGGTTTCTCTGCTGGCTCTCTACGGTAACAAAAAGGGCCCTGCGCACCTTTGATCTTAGCTGTCGCAGCGAACAATCAATGTAAATGCTTCCATGTGTGGGCCCTGAGCGCGAGCAATGGGACCACCAACAACTTCGCCAAACCTTGGCCTTGCCAGGCCATGCCTTCTAAACAACCGGACCGAGCCAAGCAAAAATAGTGTCTATAGTTTCTTTTCGCGCAAGGAACTGTTCGATTTTAGTTGCTGGTTCCACATTCGAAATTCTGCACACACGGGCACCGCAACAGAAATTGGGGTTTCTTGTGAAGAGTGTTTTTTGATTGGCGCTTTTGTCGGCTCCAACCCAACGTAATTCTTGCACTATCCGATCATATACATCAAAACCTGTGGTTCAACTCAACTCTCAAGAGATTCAATGGGCTGCACCAAGCTGACAACCAACCACCCAGCATTTTTTTACATGTCTGCTTTTAAGGACAAACTTTACCATTTGCAACAACGAAATGTGTAATATGTTCCGACAAAAAAAACATGCCATTCAATGGTCGCACTTTTCTTGATCTTTCAAATACTCAACACTAAATGGTGTGCGGTCTCAACCCCATGAGAAATATGCAAAAGGCAATAGGATCATCATCCCATTTGTTGGAAAGCCGAATATATATATATATATATATATACATACACATGTATACCAATATTACATGTATATACATATAGAGATAGATAGATAGGAAGAAAGATAGATAGATAGACAGACAGACAGACAGATCGATCGATCGATAGATAGACAGACAGACAGACAAACAGATTAGACAGGCAGACAGACAGACAGATAGATCGATGGATGGATAGATAGATAAATAGATAGATAGGTAGATAGATAGATAGATAGACAGATAGATTAGATAGTTAGTTAGTTAGTTAGTTAGTTAGTTGGTTGGTTAGTTAGTTAGATAGATAGATAGATACATACATATATTGATATAAAGATATAAAGATGTCAACCCAGTTGCAATTTTTGCTTATATCTCCATGAAATAGCCCCACCAGTTGAAGGTGAATCCCCATGAAATCGTCGGCGCAGGTTTCCAGTACCCTTTTGTTCACATCAATACAACAGGTATCGAATAACAGGTATTGAGTAATGGATATATATATAGTTATATATAACAATAACAACAAGATGATTAAAAAGAAAAACAGTATTTAATAATCATGACAATAACAGGTATGAATATGTAAATGATATATAGTAGTAATAACAATAATGATAATACGAAATTGATAATATATATATATAGTCGATGCTCATGCCCCCATTCATCAAATATGTTATCTATATATATATATATAATAGGTATTGATCCATTGATCCATAGCCCATTTGGCACTTCCATCTCAACTTTAAGCTTCACCAAGGACTATCAATCAGGGTTCTCTTGAAAAAAATGACTTAGGGGAACATTCAGAACATTCCCTAAAATCCCATGATCTATCATCATGTTCCCCCGATTTCAATGACCGTGTTATGGGTACATCCCATTTCCAAACACACCCCATTAGGGTTGCCTCAACCTTTGGAACCCCCCCAGAAATCTGATCCACGTTGGCGCCTTGAGGTTGAACTCGTGCACGTGTTTTCCGTCGCGCACCTTGGGACCAGCACCAGCCACTGTTCCAGCTGCATCCGAGGGGAGCCCCTGCGAAATCGAGTTGCGCCACTTTTTTCGAAACGCAGCAGCTGGATGTGGCTGTCTTTGTCCACACCGCCCAAGGACTTCAGCTCCTCTTTTTAAGTGGGCACCAACATTTTAACCATTGAATGTCGAAGAGAATGGTATTTACATGTTGTTTAAATGCGGCTTAAATCTCTGTGTTACCAATATTTTTTTGGTGTTTCAACCGTCAATGCCTGAACAACATGCTGCCTCGCAACCAGACCTTTGGCAGTTGCGCTTAATGATTGCAGCACAAGCATTTGGCTTTGTCCGCAAATTGTGAGAAAAAAACATAAACCTTTTTTATAAAGACTAATTCTATATAATTCTATTGCTTATTTCGCGATTGATTTCCCCATTTTGGATTGGAAAATCCCCATGAAATCCTCAGGTATGGTGTGGGTATCCCTTGTTTCTGGAGCCCTCGAGCCGTCTCGGGATGTCGGAGCTTCGCGCTTCGCCGTGTTTCAAAAGTCGGCAAAGTTGGGCCCCATGGTCTCGTACCAATGGGTACTTGGCTCACACCAAAAAGCCCAGATGTTGGCCCAACAGACAATCCCCAAATACCATTTTTATGGGATTTCAAGCATCCCCAAATGATAGGTCTATTATATTGGCTTTGCCACATTCATGTATTTCTATATAGCATTTCTGTGTTTTTGTGCGCGAATGGCGCCTTTTGGCGACAAGTGGGCAATTCCAGCTTTGAGCATCTATTGGGACCTAGCTGCGGAAGCGATTTGGATTGGTGTAGGGAAACAGTTTCACCGGAAACCACGTTTTTTTTTACCCCCAAATCCCCAAGGGTTTCCTGTAAATTGTCCCATCTTTAATAAATTCTGGGATTGAGTCAATTTGGTTTTCGATCGATTTCGGAAGGGCAACTCAGATAGCTTTGCAGCGTAAAAAATGTCCCTGCAAAATGTGTGGTTCCTTTCACCTTAAGTTTGAGCCAACCCCAAGCCAACTGATTGGTTGAGAATGACGGGATTCCCATGTTTGCTCTTCCAAAAACCATATGGGTATGGGTTCAAAATTGGGTACCCCTATGATCAGATGGTAAATATGAAACATATACTAAAACCTGTGGTTCCATAAGGCTCAAATTTCGACCCATCCCCATATTTCATAGATAAATCCCCATTAACCCTGAAACCTGAACCTTCTCCGTTGGCAGTCTGACAAGTCCTGACACCGCTGGCGCATCACTTCTCTTTGGAGCCGTTGGATCCATTCGCATGGTACTTCCTGAGGTGACAGAAGCTGCGCAAGAAAAACGCAGAGCTTTGCTACCCTTGGGCCCTTGGCTTGAAAAAACTGTAAAGATTCATCCCTTCCCAACAGACATCTTCTGAAATAAAAAAACAACGAAACCCGAATGGAACGTCTTGGATCTGTTGATTTTGAGTCCCAAAAAAATTGGGAAATGATGGGATTAAGCTCAAATCTATCAAACTACGGTCTCAAGTTGTGGAACCCCAAACTCCGATGGTTCAGTTTCTCCAATTTTGAATAGGCATAAATTGGGTGGCCATTCCGACATCTGAAGGACTAAGCCATTACATTGTTGGTGTATGTTTGTTTTATTTTCTGTATACGAAATGCATTAAAATCCCCATTTCAGCTGGTTTCCTCCCATGTTTCCTCTGCGGATGGAAGAAATCCTGCACCAGTTGATAGGTGGTAGTCATCCCATTCTTCAAAAAAGTTGGTCAACATGTTTCAACCATTCTTTTGGTGGTGCAACATTTTCGCAACCATCCACTGGTGCACGTCAAAGATTCTGCGTGATGCAGAAGGTATAGATCTCCAGTTTCTTCTTGAGCTGCTCCTGCACGCATGCCAGCCACCACAGCAGCCAAGCACCAAAGGCCTAGTCGTGACAAGGTGGGCCATCTGGAACCCATGGAGGCTCCGAGCCTTAACCAAAGTAGAAATCGTTGAACGGGGTCAAGCCATTGAGTTTCCCCAGGATGCTGAAAAACACAAAAAAAACTACGGGCCGATTGAAAAAAGTAAAAAATAATAATAAACTTCGGTGGTATCCCCAACAGCCGCAGCGTTTTATTTTTACATGTATGCAGTATGCACACGCATGAATGAAAACACAAAGAAAAAAACAAACTTCTCCGGAACCTTCTCTGCAACCTTCACCGGAGATCAGAAACCCGTTGAACCTGACCTGGCCCCGCACCAACGATTCCCAAAACCTTCTCCGCAAACTTCTCCAGACCTTCTCCGACCTTCTCCGGAACCCTGTTGAACCTGACCCGGCTCTGCACCAAAACCTCCCAGACCTTATCCGGAATCTTCTCCGGAACCCTGTTGAACCTGACCTGGCTCTGCACCAAAGCCTCCCGGACCTTCTCCGGAACCTTCTCCGGAACCCTGTTGAACTTAACGCGGCTCTGCACCAAAGCCTCCCAGACCTTCTCCGGAACCTTCTCCACAACCCTGTTGAACCTTCTTCGCCAAAGCCTCCCAGACCTTCTCCGGAACCTTCTCCGGAACCCTGTTGAACCTGACTTGGCTTTGCGCCAAGGCTTCCTGGAACCTTCTCCGGAACCTTCTCCGGAACCCTGTTGAATTTAACCCGGCTCTGCACCAAAGCCTCCCAGACCTTCTCCGGAACCTTCTCCGGAACCTTCTCCGGAACCCTGTTGAACTTGACCCTGCACCGAAGCCTCCCAGACCTTCTCCGGAACCTTCTCCGGAACCCTGTTGAATCTGACCTGGCTCTGCACCAAAGCCTCCCAGACCTTCTCCGGAACCTTCGGAACCTTCTCCGGAACCTCGTTGAACCTGACCCGGCGCCTGCACCAGTGCACACCGGAGCTATTCTGGGCTGAAGACTCCATTAGCTTACGCTGTTGGGGAATAAGTTACTCGGGAATTCATGCATTAATAGGGATTTGCTCATGCATGTACTCATCAAATGTACTCATACTCCCATATCTTCCCCAGTCACTGTGTCAGTTGACTCATTGTACTCATATGTACTCATCATGTCATGCATAAACAGGAGTACAATACATCCCCTATCTTCATAACCTATCAACAAACGGGTAAGAAGAGGTGGGGAGCAATCAAACCCAAAATTTATCTCAATTCCAACCTCATTAGTACCATTCAATTTGTTGCTGATATCATATCACTATGGGTGTTGTTCCCCCCAGACTTGATGGTTATAACCTCAGATGGAATTACAATCCATTGGACGATTGGCGTTGTGTCCCCAAATTTCCATGGTTATAACTTCATAAGTTATGAGTTAAAAGTTATAACTTTAATATATATATATATATGTATATATATACACATATTAACATAGACCCGGGCAAGCCGGCGGCGGAAGTTTCCCAAACATAAATGACCTATAGTTCAAAGACAACCTGTCCCGACCGTGTCCTTCCCTCGACACTCCACACCTCACACTGCACACTGCACTCTTCGCACTCCGAACTTCAAACTTCATACTCCACACTTCACACTTCACACTCCACACTTCTCACTTCTCACTGCTTCCTTCACGCTCCAAACCTCACACTTCACACTTCACACTTCACACTGCGCTCTTCGCACTCCAAACTTAAACTTCACACTCCACACTTCACACTTCACACTCCACACTTCACACTTCTCACTTCCCACTGCTTCCTTCACACTTCACACTTCACACTGCACTCTTTACGCCACACACTTCACACTGCTCTAAACCTACGTGCAACAAAAAAACACTAGTGCCAAAATGGAGAAAATCTGCTGACAAATCACTGTCGCAGCCTTCATGCAGCCAATCCAATACGATTTACCAGATCCAGCTGCAAAAGACAATAGTATTACGAATGCAGCCACAGCACGAAGCAACCTTGACGCAGTCATTACAATGCGATCTGCAGAGACTGAGTTGCAAAACACAATAGAACTACGCGCAACGGCGTCGGAAATTGTAGCTCCAAAACCGGATCTCGACGCCAGAGCGAAAAAAAGACGATTTTGAAGCACTTTTTAAAAGGATTTTTAGAAGGAAAATCACTAGCGCCAAAATGGAGAAAATCTGCTGACAAATCACTGTGGCAGCCTTCATGCAGCCACTCCAATACGATTTACGAAGTCCAGCTGCAAAAGACAATAGTATTTTTACACGGGACCCCGCTCTGTTGAATTAACTCGCCTCTCTCGTTCCACCCCTACATCTCCATTCCTCCGTGTTGTTTCTCTTAATAGCCCTTGTAACCGTCTATATTTTTTTAACCAACCAATAACGCAAGCCATCCTCCTCCTACCTCCATCTCTACACTACAACAATTGTCGCGCTTAACGGAATGCAGCCACAGCACGAAGCAACCTTGACGCAGCCATTACAATGCGATCTGCAGAGACTGAGTTGCAAAACACAATAGAACTACGCGCAACGGCGTCGGAAATTGTAGCTCCAAAACCACTTGCAATGCCATTTGCATTGCGGGAACGATCCTACAGTTGCAAAGCACAATGGAATTCCATCGGCAACTCATCCACCAGCAGCACCACTTGCAATCCCATTTACATTGCGGGAACGATCCTACAGTTGCAAATCACAATGGAATTCTGCCGACCGCACATGCACGAAAAACAGATGAAACCCCATTTACAATGCGGAACCGATCCGACCATGATCCGCCCATGATCCGACCACACACGAGGACCGTCTCGCAACCGTCGCACCGCAGAGGATTAGATCATCGAGGTTCGCAGGGACGAGACTTGAGATGAGCAAAAAACATGGGTTTCGACCTTGCATTGCTATCTATCAAAAAAGCATTTCGTGCGAGACTCCTTCAAACTTCCATCCCGGCCAAACCTCCCCAGCACCACTTGCAATGCCATTTGCATTGCGCGGAACGATACTACAGTGACAAAGAACAAATGCAGAATTCCATTCGGCCAACATCATCCACCAGCCACCACTTGCCAATCCATTTAATTGGGGAACGATACATACAGTGCAAATCACAATAGGAATTCTGTCGACCGAACAGCACGAAAAACAGGTGTGAAACCCCATTTACAATCGGAACCGATCGACCATGATCCGCCCATGATCCGACAACACACGAGACCGTCTCGCAACCGTCGCACCGCAGAGGTAGATCATCGAGGTTCGGGGACGGACTTTGTATGGAAAAACATAGGGTTTCGTGCATCTGCTATCTCTCAAAAACGCATTTCGTGCGAGACTTCCTTCAAAACTCCATCGGCAAATCCTCCACCAGCACCACTTGCAATCCCATTTACAGTGAGGGAACGATCCTAGAGTTGCAAATCACAATGGAATTCCATCGGCAACTCATCCACCAGCACCACTTGCAATCCCATTTACATTGCGGGAACGATCCTACAGTTGCAAATCACAATGGAATTCTGTCGACCGCACATGCACGAAAAACAGGTGAAACCCCATTTACAATGCGGAACCGATCCGACCATGATCCGCCCATGATCCGCCCATGATCCGACCACACACGAGACCGTCTCGCAACCGTCGCACCGCAGAGGTAGATCATCGAGGTTCGGGGACGGACTTTGTATGGAAAAACATAGGGTTTCGTGCATCTGCTATCTCTCAAAAACGCATTTCGCGCGAAACTTCCTTCAAAACTCCATCGGCAACTCCTCCACCAGCACCACTTGCAATGCCATTCTAACTCTTTCTTTGACTAACTCTTTCCCTGACATTCTAAAAGTTACAATTAACTCTGTCCCTAACTAACTCTTTCCCTCACTAACCCTTTGACTGGCTCTTTCCCTGACAGTCTAAAAGTGACAATAAACTCTTTCCCTAACTAACTCTTTCCCTCACTAACTCTTTCTTTGACTAACTCTTTCCCTGACATTCCACTTTCCCTCACTAACTCTTTCTTTGACTAACTCTTTCCCTGACATTCCAAAAGTCCGTAACACGGAAGTTTCTCCCCCTAAACTTTCTTTGATAATTATATATATATATATTTGTAACCTCTGGGAGCCATCCATGCAACGCCCAAGTCGCCAGAAGTGTCAGCAACAGCGCAGCTTTCGCCAGCTCAGGAGCGATCCATCCCAGTCCCAGCAGCATGGCCTCGACACGGGAGGCCCTGAGGGCAAGGTGCCATGGGTCCCCATGGGTCCCACGGGAGCTAAAGATGACCGTCCTCCATCACCAAGTCACATAGGGCACCAGCCACTTCTGCACTACAGGGAATGGCATCCTGGCATTCCCCAGGTGGCTGTTTACTGCGGGAGAATGGATGACCATCCCCAAACATGGGTACCCTCTGGTAATTTAACATAGCTATTGAAAATGGCCATTTATAGTGGATTTTCCCATTAAATATGGTGATTTTCCATAGTTATGGGACAGTTTACCAGAGGGTAAATGATCCAAGGTTTGTCCGCAACTGTGGTGTGCCATTTTTTATATTTTTCTTGTCTTGATTCATCGATTATGAAGAAACCGGGCGAAAAAAAGCCTTTGGACCTGCCTGCATGATCCACAAACAATATTAGTGAGATTGCAAAAACAGGTTACATAATTTTTGAAAGGCGTTATATCCAATACCTATTCCATCTGAGCCATGAGAAAATGCCCCTATCCCATCCCATTCTACATATCTTACTAGTTGGTAGGTATCCCGGTAATTATCCCTATTGTTTACTGGCTAATGTATGTTCCATCTTTAACTTCAAGGACTCTCCCTGGGAAGCGCAGCAAAAAACACCCCATACCTTGCCATGGAGAAGAGGATCATCTGCCTCGCTGGGCAGTTCAACAAAAGCTGGGTGGGTGTTAAGTCAATACCAAAATGAAGATTCAATTGATTAAACATGACGAAAGCATTCAAGAATGTTGATTTGACATGATTTAACTGTGTATATCTTCTGGTGGTAAACCAACCATGCGCGGTGGCAAGTCCGCACTTTCGTTACAAAACGATGAGTCTTTCCATTGCAGGATTACCAAAAGGCGTTCCCCAAGCGTGGGGTTTCCCAGACCACTCGTAGGGGCAAGGCCCTGGAAACATGACCAGTGGAAAGACACTGTTTAAGTCGATCTTGTCGATCTTGATAATTCTTGGAAAATGGATAGTTCACTATCCATTTTCTGAGTTAACTATCCATTTTCTGAGTCGATCATGACCTAGGATCACAATTATCAACTCAGAAAATGGATAGTTAACTCTCCCAAGAATGCCAGCCAGGCTGCGCCGAGAAGTAAAACAATAGCCTTGGATGCAGCACGGATCAAATCTCGATGGGTTCAATGGGGGATATCCCAAAAATGGATGGTTTATTTCATGGAAAATAAAACAAGGATTAGTTGGGGGGTACCCCCCCATTTTGGGACACCTCCAAATGGTCATTTTTCGGGAATCCATCGTTTACACCATGAAAATTTGGGCTTCCTGCAAGTGTTCCTTTCATCCAATGGAGAAACCACGTATCTTACTATCGAACATGGTGATGTCAATTGTCCCAGGTCTGAGGGGTAAACGGACCACTCCAAAAGTAGTCATTGACTCGTTCTCCACATCGAGTTCCATCGCCATGTTCGCTTCGAAATGATCCACAAGAGAATGCGAGAATAAAAGAAAGCCCAATCATCTTCCCCACTGACCCCTGAGTATTCTCAAAAATTTTGCATTTTTATATATATATAAATCCCTAATGGTTTACCCCATAGAATTTAGGATGATACTCCCATCAACCCCTCCCAGCCCCTTCCGTTCCGAGCCGCAGCATGGTCAGCAGGCTGATTTCGCGGGAGGCCAGGCGCACCATCTGGGGACTCCAAGAGCCCAGCAGCAGATTCTGCAGCAGAACCGGCAGCAGGTCCTGGCAGCTTCGAAACGTGCCAGGTCCACGCCGGTGTTTCACGGCTGGGATTCTTGGCTTTAAAAATGAGAAGATCGTGATTCGATCATGGATATATATGGATATCATGGTCCATTTATGTCCATTTCATGATATTTAGGTCCATTTTGGTCCATTGAAGTTCTGACTCTGGGCCTTTTCTTAATACAGCGCTGAATTTACATCATCTGGCTGGAGTCCTCAGGGCTCGGTCTCGAGACTGGCTAGTTGGAAATCCCAATACAATACAAAGAATGGGAAGATGAATGGGATACTCATCAATTTAATATAAATGACTGATTTTCTGGCTAACCAGGTTCAATTACTGGAGGCTCAACTTCAGCGCCAAATGCCCAAGATCCAACCCTTCGGTCATGACACTGGCAGTCCTTCAAAACACTGAGGACTTCGCTCATGCCCTTTTTCTTGAAAGCATGGGCCTTGGAAAGATTGAAACCACAGCACGAGCAGTCTCTCCAGAGCTTAGGAGGATCGTTCAGTGGTCGCTTACATATCCATATTGTCTATATCCATTTGTCAATGCCCCTAAGGAATTGTCACACACCAACGAAATGGCCTGAAATAGCTCGTTATAAACAGTTATATGATACAAGGAGACCCCCCCCAGTTATAAGTTAGTTTATGAATCCATCAATCACTGGCCCTCTGTCGCCATGGCACCAAGTTCTTCAGGACGCAAAGTGACATGAAGAAACCGATGAAGACGAGCCAGCACTGGAGGCAGTTGGCATCATTTCATGGGCATTTTATGGGAATAGTAGTGGGAAATCATGATTTCATGGGGATTTAACATGCGGGAATGTATATTATGTACAACACTGTAGGGATTCAACAGGGGATGTATAATCCCTTCTCCCGAATTTTCGGGATCATAGTGGGATAGTAGTGGGTGTTTCTGGGGATATAACTAACCAACTCGTCACAAAATATTGGGAAAATGGCGATTTCTACTGCCGGGGATCGTCACCAGAGTACCTCAATTTGTTCACGGGCGCCCACTTCTCCCTCCCCAGAAAGAAGTGGAAATGAAGCCGGATCCTGCTGGTTTCGTAACCAGTATGATATACAGAAAAGTTGGGAAGCCTGAAAAACGTGGAAGAAACATCATCACGAAATATCTGTTTCAAATCCTGACAAAACTTTCGCTTTTAGTTTGTTTAAGGAACCCCTAGTCATGATATCATGATATCATAATATAATATTAATAATATGTATGTAAATATATATATACATATAAAAATATATATATATACAATTATAGACATATCATAGGACCACCACTTCCACTTCCACGAAGACCCATTGCCTTCATAAAGTGAGTCCTCAGATCCGCCAAGCCCAGCAGGGGTAGCTGAAGCGGCATCGAAAGAATGGAGGGGACCACCTGGCAGATCCGCCCCTTGGCGAAGTCACTTCAGAACTTGGTGGAATTTATATGGATTTATAGGGAATTTATATGAATTTATATGGATTTATAGGACATATGATATATACATATACTTCATGGGGGTTCCAACTTGTAAGTGGGGGGGGCCACATTGTATCTGTTTCCCTCTGTGGGATTTCCATGAACACCCTGTCGTGATCTCAAACAAAATGTACATCTCCACAAAAACGGAAAAATGGATGGGTCCATTCCACGAAGAAAATTCATGGATAAAGGATGGACAGACCTGTCTGGATGTTCAAGCCAAGCAATTAAGTGCACGTCTTCAGCAAGTGGAGAGGCACTTCAACTTGAAGCGAGTCTTGATTTCAAGAAAAATGGTAGTCATGTAGTTCATGCAGTTGTTTTTTTCCAGCTCTAGTAACTTAAACATGGCCATGTAAAAGTGCCCATATTTTCCATGTCGATTTCAGGAATCCTGTTGTTTGTGCCAAAAAAACGGATGGTGTCACTGACACTGACAAAATGGGTCTGTCTGACAGTAGGGTGCCCACAAATTTGATATAGAATGGCCATATATGGAGAGTATACAACTCATTTTTGGGGCAAACCCAAATGACTATATTAAGTTGGATAAGATATACGATAGATAAGACAAACGGAGGGACGAACCAGGAACCCCAAAAGAAAGAGAACAACCGATTCACCAACACTCCGCATCAACAAAACAAGCAAACACCTTTTCTAGAAGGCGCTTGAGCCACGAACGTCGGAGACGTGTAAATGACCCACCCAGGTTATTGTTAGGATGGATTACACTCTACTCTAATTAGTGGCTACCCTACCTATGTAACGCTTCTACATAGGTAGTGCTGTGACTGTACATATCGGGGATATCTACTTTGGGTATGATGGACTCATAGCTAAGGCATACCTCTACTAGACCTACCTGCACATGCTATACATGGTGGGGCTCAGGGGTCGATATATTTCAACTCCCCCCTCGCCTGTTCCACACGCACTGCGCATTGGCAGGCACCTAAGCAACTAATGTCGCGTGAACGGACGTTCACGGCGACCTATGCTTTGGATTTAAGGTCTAAGGGGAGGTCAGTACGGATTCCTAAAAGGATTAGTGCTGCTGCCCATTTGTGTGGAGGCAATGCCTTGGTGAATATGTCTGCCGCCTGGTCATCGGTGTGGGTGTACTCTATCTCGGCAGAGTCATCTCTGAAGACTTCAGACAGGCAAGACAAATTAACCTTGTGCGTTCTAGTTATATGGCGAAGCTTGGGACTATATCCTTTCTTCACAACTAGGATTGTTGCTTGGTTATCTTCGTGGACCCTAAGGGTTACGGAGCGTGCAAGCAACAGCTCCCATAACTGTAAGGCAGGCAAGCCTTCTTGATAAAGCGAATGGGCTAAACTAACAACCTCGCTTTCCGTGGTCGATCTAGAAGTGGATGTTTGGCGCTTGCTAATCCATGCAAGTGGGAAGAAGGAACTAGGGCCAGTTAAAACCAAAAAGCCACCGGAGGTTGAGCGTGCAGTTGATCTGTCGCCGGCGAAGTCGGCATCGACAAACAGTCTGAGCTCTAGGTCTTCAGGCTTGTCCTGAATGGTACCTACTAACCTGTAGTGTGGTGTTGAGGCTATATACTGGATTAATCTTAGGACCTTCTTATCATCCCCCCTGGACCACGACTGGACCTTTGTGGCCAGATCATTGATAGGCTTGATGATGTCGGGACGTGCAAGTCTACCTAACCAAAGGGCTTTCATCAAAATCTTACATGCGTTTGGAGCTAGTTCCCCTTTAGTTTCATCATCTTCAATGGTGATGGATCCCTCAGGTGGAAATGGCGTGGCTGGCATGCTTGAGTTTGGTGACACCAGTTATTGACTTATACAAATCTACGGTCTGCTGAGCGTAGTCTGCCATATCAAAAACCATGCCATCTTGGGCTTGGAAGGCTGCACATTTTTCATGACCTTCGGTCTTGGATAGTGGGGTAACAACATGGTTGCGTCCAAGAATCCTATAGATGGGCTCTGGGGGTTCAATGTCTACCACAGAAGTTAACTTACTCCAGAATGCATCATGCTGGTCGGCGGGGCCAGCTAGAGTTAAATCGTCTACATAAGTTGACAGAAGTAACTTTGTATCTGGGAAGAAAAAGTTTCCTGGGTATTCTGGAACTTCCTGTCCACCAAGGTTCTTGATGATGACTTTCAAGTGTTGTTCCCACAGGCCTCCGGCATCAGGATGACCGTATAAGGCTTTAATTAAGAGGACTACGGGCTTAACAAACTGTTGCTTCCAATACTTAGGGCGGAGCTCCGGGGGAAGCTCAATCCAGGTTTTGTATTTGGAAGATAACAGTGCTTGGACGTAAGCTTTGACTGCATCTGCAGCCGTCGCGCGGTTACCCGGCAGCGACCCATACGCCAGGCAGGCGTTTAGCCCTTGGACGGAGGTGGGATTTGCGCCGAGTTCTTGGTAAACCGCGGCTGCACCATGTTCGTCCTTTGCGCAGTCTCCTCTGTACACAATGCGCCCCTTCATTTTGTGAAGGTGGTCTGCAAGCTCGTAGAATTTAATGGACGCGATGGTCATGAGCTGACCAAAGTGTACTGACACACCCGAAGCCTTAGCTTCTTTGCGTACATCTTCCTTCTCGCGGACCGAGCTAAGATCCCAAGTACCAGCTTTAACCAAACCATCGGCTTCGGCGCGGATTGCCTCGAGGGCCTTGGGATTGGACAGCATCTCTGCACGGGACAAGAGCTTAGTGACCATTGCTTTGATCTCAGGCGTTGGCGCCTTAGGGTCTTCCAGGTGGAAGGCTTGAGCGATCAATTGTTCGTGGTCAAGAAGTTCTGTAACCAACCTATTAGCAGTGGGGTCTGATTCAACAGCTAGGGCTAAATCTTCAAAACCAGCTAATGGGGATACATGCTTAAGGTGCTGCTCAATTTCCCTATGGGGTTGAGGCTCGCTAGTTGTCGGTCGGCAAGGCATAGCAGGAACGGACTGCTGGGCACATTTTGCGGGATACAAAGCTTGCGCAATTAGATTAGTCATTTGGGGCGGATACATTGCGGAGCGAGTGGTCTCAGCTCCCTCACATCTGGAATGAGGTTGCTGGCATCGGCACCGCATATTTTGAAACGCCTCTACAATTCGGGGAGAAGTGGTCTTGAGTTTCCATGGCTTTTTGATGGGATAACCATTTCTGTCGGTCAAACCTACGGCACACCCTTCAAAATCAACGGTCATAAACTGGGGATGCTTCTCAAAGAATGCTACAACGTCAGGCCTTTTCCAGCCAGAGCAAGGTCTTGGCCATTCAAACGTTACAGTACCACCATGATTGAGAACCCTTTCAGCGCGTTTGGAAAAACTCTTAAACAACCGTTTGGACTCTTTGACCTGGTGGGCAAGCTTCCTAATGAATGCGGCACCACCCCTCTTCCTATTGATGTACTGCCAAGGGGATCCGGATGTGCAAGGGATAGAGGCCCACATATGTGGAGGTGCAACCTTAGCGGCTTCATCTATCTGATAGTCTAGTTGCTCACATTGTGACTCATCTCCCAGGTCTATCCTATCCTTACAAAGTCTAACATGATTAATGCCATATTCTTGGTGAGTAAAACCCATCTGGGAGTCCTCAGAACAAGCAAATTCAAACATGGTTGACTTGGCATTGGGTCTGGAAGCTTTCTTGGCAGCTTTCCGGCTCCTACGATTATCGCGGTTAGTTGGCTTACCTACAGCGGGGCAACCAAAAACAGGCAGCGACTTTTGACATAGGTCGGAACATCGATTGGCAACTTGGGGAAGAATAGCTACACCAGAAACGGAAACAGCAGGCTCGGCTGGAGCACTGGGTTCGGATGAACCTGGTACCTCACCTCGTATGAAGATCTCCTCAACCAGTGCTCTATCCTCTGCGGAGAGGTGAGATGGTATCGGATCGGGATCAGGCAGATCCTCACCCTGGAAGATGATGCCATGTGCTTCATCATCCTTGTTTTCTGCTTCTTTCTCGCTTGTGGGAGGTGGAGCTTTCTTTTCCTTTTCGGCTTCTTTTTCTTTTTCAACCAACATTGCGAAGCGGGCTCTGCACTCATCAGTGTGCACGCGCGAATGGCCAGTGCAACCTTTGCAACCAGGGGTCTCTTTCCACTTAAGGATACGGTCTACGGTTATATAAACAGAACGACTTTTGAGACCTGGCGTAGAGGGTGAGGCTATTCCGCCCTCCTTGGGGAAGGGCACATCCTTCAAGGCATATTCAGGCAACTTAAGATCATCTGGGTTATCCCCCCTGATGAGAGCTTGGTGGCGTGAAAAACCTACTGGAAAAACAGGATCACCTTCAGGGACAAAGATTTCTGCTTCTGGAACATCAACGGCTGAATTCCCACCTCTAGTGCGATACTCTTGGTAATCTAACACCCTTAAGATATTTCTATATCGGAAACCAGGATCAATCCTCCAACCCAAAAATAGACCAGGTGACATGTTGGGCTCCAAAGTCCTTTTGGTGGGTGACTTCCTACGGTAATACACTAACTGACCAAAGCATAACCTCATGCCATCAAACTTATTCCTAGTAAGCGACTCCCATTGGGTTTTGTCGGGGTCGGCTATTGAAGGCTTGTCGAATGACATTGAAAGGCAAGCATATGGATAGCTATATGTGTGATACTCATAGGGAAGGCCAGATTGGAGGTGAACAGTGCGGCAACATTCTTTCTCCTCTCGAACATCTCTCTCGAGGATGGCATTGTGGGGCCATCTGTTCGGCAACGAGGTTTCTGGAACCATGCCTACGGCATGTGCCGCCTGCTCAAGCTCGCCTGCTTCGTCCATTTTGATGAACGTTCGGGTGGTGAGCTCTGATCCACGCAATCCTAAGAAATGCCTAAAGTTGCGAGCATGCGCGTCAGCAGTACGTTTAGACAATGGGTATGCAACACGCGCAC